TCCCCACTGAGCACAGAGCCCGACACAGGGCTCCATCCCACGACCCTGAGATCATGACCTGAGCTGAAATCAAGAGTCAGATGCTTAACCAACTGAGTCACCCAGGAGCCCTTCTTCTCTTCCCTCCCTCCCTCCCTCCCTCCCTTCCTTCCTTCCTTTCCTCTTCCAACATTTATTGAAAACCAACTGTGTCCCAGACACTGGCCCGGGCACTAGAGGCTGATTGTGTCAAGACAAACGAAGATCCTGTCCCAGAGAAGCATACTGTCAGGGCCTCGCAGACAAGCAAATCCACAGTTGAAGCCCTGGGTGAGCGGAACTGAGATGGGGGAGCCCGGCGGCCCTAAGCTAGCTTGAGGACTGGGCTGTCAGGGAAGAAGGTCCAGAGGAGGCAGCAGAGCTTGCTTTGAAGTCACTTAGCAATGATAGGCCTGCAGTGGGAAGGAGGCATTACGGTAGAGGGAACAGCATGTGCGAAGCCACAGACGTGTGCAGCTGCATGGCTTCTCCCCAGGCGTGAGGGGGACCATGGAGGGCTCGGAGCCGAAGCCGGCCTCTGGCTACAGGTGGGTCATAGGCGCAAGCCTGGGGGAGGGAGTCCTGGTGAGGGACAGAGGCCTGACCCAGAGCAGGGACCGGGGCACAGAGAACGTGTTTGTGTCTTGAGGCTGCTGTGTAACAAAGCGGCACAAACTGGATGGCTTTAAAACAACAGACATTTATTCTTTCACAGTTCTGCAGGCTGAAAGTCTGAAACCAAGGTGTCAGCAGGGCCATGTTCCCTCTGAGACTCTGGGTAGAATCCTTCATTGCCTCTTCTTAGCTTCTGGAGGTCACTGTCGGCCCTTGGCATTCCTTGGCTTGTAACTGCACCACGCCAAGCTCTGCCTGTCTTCACATGGCATTGTCCCTGTGTGTAGATACACATGACATTGCCACTTCTTATAAGGACACCGGCCGTATTGGATTAAGACCCACCCTGATGACTTCATCTTAACTTGATTACATGTACAAAGACCCTATTTCCGAATAAGGTCAGTCATAGGGAACTGGGGGTTAGGACTTCAAGATATCTTTTTAGGGGTTACAATTCATCCCATTACAGAGAGGAACAGGTAGTTCCACTGAATTTCTCCCAGGCGACAGCCATGACCTTCGCCCTGGCTTTCACCTGTAAGCCCAGGCCTAACCATGGGTGCCCCCAGCCCCTGGCGGCTGGGAACTGCCTGACCTGCTAAGACCAAATTTGGCACCATGGCGCCCTCTGCTGCCCAGATATGGCAAGAGCAGTCTGGCTCCTGCAGGCTACAAGCAGCTCCGCCCCTTGGAGACTTCATACATTTTCAACCATGGAAAAGACCTCCATCCCGAGGCTGAGGTGGCCAACTGGAACGGCACCGAGGGTCTGGAAGCTGCAAGCACCAGCCCTTGGTGTCTGACTGACCTGGGTTTGCATCCTGCCTCTGTGGCTGCCTGGTTGGGTGACCCTGGGCTTGTTGCTCAGTTTCTCTGTGTTTTGGTCGCCTCCTCAGGAGAGCAAAGGGAACTGTCCATGTTCCCAGGGCACAGAGCTGAGCACAAAGTGCTCGCTCAGTACCAGGCAACTACTCATTGTTAAAATATTAATTATGTTAATAAATGAGTTAATAACTCTAATGTTCTTAAAACAAACCAGGCAGATAGTAAATACTAATGGAGCAATTTATATTCTTGGCATCTACTATTTGCCAGATTTATTCTCCTTGGATCCCTAAGGGCTTAGAAGTGCCAATATTAATAATAAATAATTCGATGACATGTAATATTATTATTGGTATTTATAGGCCTTTAAGTGTCCAAGGAAATAAAATTATGAGGTTCCACAAACCCAAGATATTATCATATTGCACTAACTCATATCTCTCTTTGATTAATAAAAAGTATGTGGGGGGGGAGATTATCTCATGAATTTGGAGTCAATAATACCTTAGCTATTCTTTTTCTTTTTTCTTTCTTTCTTCCTTTCTTTTGCTTAGTTCTTTCCATATGAATTAAATAAAGCTTCAAAGATGTGCTTATTTCTTGCTACAGAGAACTTTAGGAGGGTGCAGGCGGTGGCTCCAGGGGGCTGGTGGGTTCAAAACTCCCAGGCTGACCAACCATCCTGGTTGCCCAGACTGAGGAGTTTCCTGGGCTTTGGGAAATTTCAGTGCAAAAACTGGGACAGTCCCAGGATACTGAGAGAGTTGGTCACCCTAACTTCTTCCCACCTTGCTTGGGCCAGAAACTCACTCCCAGGAGAAAGACTGATTCAGATCCAGGGAGGGTTTAAGAGACAACTAATCCAGCTTGAAATCCAGTTCTGGCAGTAATTAGATGTGTGGCCTTCAGTAAATCACTTAACCTCTCTGAGCTTTGGTCTATAAAGCTGGGATGTTGTGGATATTCAGATAAGGTGTACAAGTACTTGGCTTGGAGCCTGGTACAGACAGTTCTCCAATAAACTCCTTTGGCTGTGGTTTCTACATTTCGTGTCTGGCTGCTGGCTCCTAGTTAGAGACCCACAAGTCCTCTGCCCCAGAAAGGGCCTTTGTCCCCCTGGGGAGGCCGAGGGAGGCAGGTGGTTATGGTTGAGGCATCCCCACACTGCTGCAAGGGGCTTGGGGTCCCAGGGAGAAGGTTTAGTTTTGGGTCTGATGTGTACCTCAGTTAAGTCCCTTCTGATCTCTCAGAATGTCAATTCCCACACCTGTAATATGGGATGGTATTTGTGCCTACCTCGAAGAGTGACTGTGAGGATTAATGAGATTATACAAGGAACCCTCAGCCTGGGCCCGGGGCCTGCTCTCAGTGCTACACCAGGTACTCCCCACCTCCCCATCACACACACACACACACACACGCATGCATGGACTCTATCTTAATCTGGCCACACATTCCATCCCACCCAGCCCCTGTTCCAGTCCTACCACTTACTTGCTGTGTGATCTTGGCCAGATGACTTTCCCTCTCTGAGCTCCCTTCCTCATCTCTGACACGAGGGAATGACAGTTCCCACATTGCTGAGTTTTGATGAAGATGAACTGAGATAACCCACTCAGCCTAATGCTGGACACATAACCAGTGTTAAGTTGGAGTCAGTGACTGGTAGAGCCCCAGGATGATCACACGCACACACCTACACACACACATACACACATGATCTTCCAGGTCTTGGTAGCTCCTGGGAGTCCTTCAACCACACAGGGCTTCAGCACGTAACAGGTGCACACCAAACCCTGCCACACCACTGGGCTCTGTCCCACAGACACACTCAGGCACCTGCCATGCTCTCTTGCGGGTCCCCCCATCCTCATCAGTCACCTCCCACCCAGGGCCCCACCAGTCAGCACCACTGAGGCTGATTAACAAAAAACACAACATCAAATGCCTTTACTTCTGAACTCTCCCCTTTAAGGGGAGGCAAGAAATAGAACATTCTTCCTTGGAGGGAAGGGGATTTAATTCTTTAAAAAAGGCTAGAATAAGCAAATACTGATCTGAGGCCCTGTGTGCCGTGGGCCCAGTCCCGGCTGGCCGCACCCCCGCAGCAGCCCCACCTCATTCCCCCCAGAGCTGGGGGGGGCACCAGGAGGACACAGGGAAGGCCGGCCGGCCCCGCCCAGCCCCTCCTCAGCGATCCAGCGGGCAGAGGGGGCTGCCGGTGGGCGGGATGTCACCACCTCAGAAAGTCCCGGATGAGCTTCCAGAGCTTCGTGACCCACAGGTTGACGCCGAGGTCCATCAGGTACTGGATCTCAGGCGTGAGCATGCGACGGCAGAGCTGCGCGTGCCGCTGCCCGATGCTCTTCTTGAGGTTGTAGCCGAGGATGGACTTGGCGCCCAGAGGCTGCCAGGGCTGCATGGCCGAGTCCTGGATGGCGGCGGCGTCCACGGCTCGGCCCCCGTCGATGCAGATGCGCCGCATGCGCTCGTTGGCGCGCCGCAGGGCGGCCACCTCGCGGGCCATGCGCTCCCGCCCGAACGCCTCCACCTTGCGCCAGAAGCTGGCGTTGAAGTGGCGGTAGAGGCGGGCGTCCAGCACGTTCCAGGCCGTGGCGCGCCGGTACAGCTCCCCGGAGAGGCGCGGCACGGCCGAGGCGCGGCGGGCGTTGAGCTTGAAGTAGAGCACGTCCTCCAGCTCCCAGCACAGCAGGTCCTTGAGCAGCACCAGGGACTCGTCGAAGTACTCCTGCAGGAGCACCAGGTGGAAGCGGCGCTCCACCTCCAGGATGTGCTCCTGCACCTGCGGGTTGCCGGGGTCCAGGCCGCTGTCGTAGCCCAGGTCGAAGAAGAGCAGGTTGCGGAGGTAGTGGGCGTTGTAGCCGTTGGGGTCATAGTAGCGGTCTGGGTCCTGCAGGAACTCGGCCAGCTTGTCGCTGCCCGAGAGCTTCCACGTGAAGGGCACCACCGAGCCGAAGTAGTGGAAGGAGGACTCGAAGAGGCGGGCGGGGTCGCGGAGCACGGTGATGAACGTGGCGTTGGGCGGCACCAGACCGCGTACCTCCTCGTAGTGGAAGCGCATGTGGTTGCAGATGATGTTGAAGCAGGCCCCGGGCCGGTAGTCCTGCACCAGGCTGCGAGCGAAGAAGGCCGGGTAGTCGAAGTCGTTGCGGCCATTGGGGAAGGCGAACTTGAGCCCGTGCTTCTGGCCAAAGCGGAACAGGATGTTGAGCAGCGTGCTGCTGGCCGTCTTGTGCGTCTTCATGAACACGATGTCGCGTCGAGGCTGGCACCCTCCCGCAGAGCCGTTGGCCGGGGTCAGGGCCTCGGGCTCACCTGGCGCCGGGGAGCAGGGCGCTGTGCCCTCTGGGGTCCTGCTGTGGATGGAATGGTGGGGAGAGCCTCAGGGGCTGCTGGGGGCCCTCAGGAGGCAGAACCGCAGCGCCGTGGAGTCTAAAGATCAGGCCTATTGGGGATGGTGGGTAGCAGGGAGGCCAGGACAGGGGACCAGACAGGCCTGTGTCCAGGCTGCGATGCTTGGGCGTGTGGTTTGGTCTCTTTGGCCTCACGTTCCTCATCTACGAAATGGGGAAAATAACAGGCCCATCTGGGGTGTTGGTGTGAGGTCAAAGTGAGACAAGCTTGCTGGTTCTTGTCTCATTAGTGGCCACCACATCGTACACGTTATCACGAATTAGCATTAGGTTGGACCACATGAGATTTTGTAGGTCGGTTTTTGACCAAAAATAGTCCATTCTCGGTAATTTCCTCTAGTTCAACTTGATACCACCAACTAAGAGCACAAACCATGCCAGGCCCGGGCTGAGCAGCCCCCTGAGGAGGTGGGCTAGCCTCATGGTTAGGAGCCAGGCTTGGAGGCAGACAGAATCCAGTCTCAGCCTGGGCCCTGTGCCTGTGGAGTTCTCTCGGACAAGTCACCCCCACGTCCCAGCCCCACTGGAGCCTCAGATGAGGATAATCCCAGCCGTGTACACAGACAGTGTTATTTGATCCTCATGCTCCATGAGGCAGGCTCTGTTATTATGCCCACTTCACGGAGGAGGACACTGAGGCTCAGGGTTACACAGTGAGCTCTGCCCTAATCAGCACAATTTCTGCACATCCAGCATAGCATGATGCAGGGCCCAGGGTGCCCCA